CCCCCAACCACCTCATTAGTGAATGGCCATTTCAGAGCTGTCTTTATATAGTTGGCATCTTGGCAAGGAAACCCTGACTTCTTCCGTCTGAGCTCTGTGGAGTGCCAGCTGGAGAGGCTGATCTTAAGACCCAGCCCCACTGAAGGGAGAGTGAATACCCTAAATCCTCCCTAGGGCTCTGATCTGGGATTCTGGAGATCCCAGGTTCAATCCCGCCCTTCCAAAATCCTGACTCTTGTGTGGCCTTGGACAAGTCATTTAAATCTTCCTATGTCTCGGGATGCCATCAGTAACAGGGAAGTGATAGCATTGCCCTACCCCTGAAACATGCTGATAGGTATACTATTCAGATACCCCATCATGGCGTCAAGTAGTATGCTGGTTCCCTTGATGTGTGTAATGCTGTGCCACTATTATGCATTATTCCTCTAGAGCCAAGCTATCCTCACAGTGGTCCACCCAGGGACTAGGCTTCTAACAATCAGCATGGCATAAGAAAGTGACACTGCAGGGAGCCCTGAAGGTGCAGTGCATCAGCCCACAAGCAATGACTTGGAACCATGAATGTCACATAAGCTCATTAATATTAATGAGCTGGTGGGATCTGAATTGTAGGAGCTATATTAGGCAAATGATGCCCTTTTATTGGCATGCTAGTCACCAGGCAGTTTTTTCCTTCCAAGGATCTGCATTTGGACATAGTGCCCAGCCCAGTCTCTTCTGACAGGGTAAGGCATGTCCCATTCCCACAGCCCAAATTAAACCTTCCCCCAGTCCTCTCTGGTTCCCTTGCTGTTGTGCCAACAGGTGGTTCTTTTGAATTAGACATACTTGCTATCAGTCTATGGCACACTGAGAAGGTGGGGGGAATATCTCGGGCAAGTGTTTTTGCCAGCATAAAGATGACTTCCTGGTGTGGTGGGTCTGGCCTGTAATCTGCAAATAGCACGTGAAATATTGTACCGATTACATGGTTCTTTAAAGAAGGTAAACTTGCTGCAGGAAAGACACACATACTATCCCACCTCTGTTAACCTCCACTCACACTCATCCCATTGTTGTTGCAGTTTCCTCGTTGATGACAGCCTGTACCTCTTGAAGGCAAACTCGGACATTATCAAAACAGACTGAAGCTGTTGGAGGAAAGTAGAATGGGAAAGAGCTAACTCTTCCCTGACAGAAGGTGCTGTGCAAAACCTTCCCGGTGACTGTCCCAACAGCACCCCTGATCTCAAGACAGCCTCTCTTGAGGAGCGGTGATGTTGTGCATCTTCTATCTTCCACTGTTGAAGTGTCCATATCTGGAGCTTCTTGCCATGCCAAGGCCTCTCTCTTCCCAAGCTCCTGGATGCACTGGAAAACACCTCATTCTTCTTCAGAACTTTACTTTTGCTTCCTCCACTCTTTTGTTGCCTTCAGAAGTTCTTACTCTTGATCTTGTGACTCGTCCCATTAGAGTGTCAAGGATCTGTCAGAACATTGGTGATCCATCTCGCCCACTTGTCCTCCCCACTCGCTGCAACTCTCTTCTGTGCTACCAGGCAACCTTCATTTCCATTTCCACCATTTAAAAGAAATCATTGAGTGATTCTGGGCTTGCTCGGGGGACTTCAGATGGAGTGGGGAAATGGGCAAAAGCAACTAGTGGCATGGTAAACTGAAAGATAACAAGAGCAAGTTGTGGAGACATCTGATCATGAAGTTCTGAGGTCCACAGCGTCATTGCTTGCTGAAAAGGGATTATTGTTAATCTTAAAAATGCTGGATAGCCCAGGGTGTCCTTGGGTAGCCTGGATTTATGCTGTGCTGTAAACCTTAATCTTTTGTCCTTTGATTATAAGCAGTGAAGGCACCTTCAGCACTTGAGAGGTCTGTCTTCCCAGAGGCTGTGGGGTCCTTGGGTAGGCACGTCTCACCTCTTGTGAGATAAGAAGTGTTTGAATCTAGATGCTTGTGCAGTCTTTGAAAAACTTGCTCTAGTGTGAAATGTGGGGCAGGTTCAGAAGGTTCCACTTTTCCTTCGTTGATTAGTTGTGAATTTTTGGATGCTGCAAAGCTATCCAGTGTGTCCTAACTGGAGGGAAGGGGAGAAAGCACCTGCCCTGGAGGGAGCAGGTCCTGCAGATTCCCTTGTCTCTGCAGCACTTACTAGTTGCTGAGTTGCCCAGATCAAAGTGTCAATGAAATTTGTTGTGTGCCACACGGCAATCCTGGCTCCTGCTACACACCCCACCCCAGCCCTCTCCCCTGCTGTAACTGTATCAGGTGGTAGACTGCTGTACCCAACAGGATAAGGACTTCATGAGGGGAATCCTAGAGTGCTGGGGAATTGTGTGTTAAAGCAGAGACCCCAGGAATGCTGCATTGATTGGGGGGGGGGGGGGGGGGGGTGGGGGGGTTTTTGT